GTGTAGCGCCTCGCTACACCCACACTCACGTGTCAATACACGGACACAACAACGCGTGCAGTTGAGACGACTGGACATCAGTGACATCATCGCTCTCTGTCACTCAACCGTCTAATGTATACTTCTCACTCGCGCCTATTGTATTCGTATCCGAATTCTCGCCTTTTGCGAATATTATATTCAGTCCGGCACCGACCGCCGAATACTCAGGAGTGAACACCTACTTCTTACATTATCTATCTTCACTTTTTGTATATAGTCTACGTCTTGTAAATATACTATAATTGTTTTATAACTATCGCATTTGTTAGTGAATCGTTACATCCCTCAACAACCTCGATTCCTACAGGGGGAGGGGGTCAGAAATGAGCCAAAATTGGATCAATTTATTTATGGACGCCCCCTTAGAGTCTAAATTGAAATCAAAAATCAAATCAAAATTGAAGTCTCTAAGGCTTAGACTTCAATTTTGATTCGTATAAATCAAGAGCGTGAGGAACTTTAAATCAAAGGTTTCTACCCTTGAATAATTCGCGTCAACATTGAACTGTATCCCGAGCCCCGAAAATTATGAGTCAACGGTGCCGCCCTCGATTAAAGAGCGCGACTTTGAAACAAAATCGGCGCTTTTGAATTTTTTTTAATGTCGAGTCCGACTTTGAAATAGCGTCCGGATTTTTCTCAGTGTAACCACTAGGCTATCGCGCAATGCTTACTCATCGTCAATATCATATCAAGAATGTTATTCCATTTCGTGAAACTATTTTTTTCAGATTTAGGGAAAATTGTATTATTTGTTTACTTTTTTCATGGAAGAATATATTTAATATAATTAGTATAATAATTCAATGGAAAAATATGACAATTGTTTTGACAAAATGAAATGCACAACTTTTATGAGTATCTTTTTAGCGATTATTTGACTTGAAATTAATATTTCAAGTATAATCTTAAATATAATAAATTTGTTGCCGATTCTTTGTTCGCGATTCACGCTAAAACCACTGAATGGATTTTGATGAGGTTTTCAATGTTAAGGGATAACGGAACCCGTCGCACGCAGAGATTAGGGCCCCCCCCCCTATCGGTATTGCAGGTTCCCGTGGTTTTTTGGATTTTGTACTTGAAAAGTACAAAAGCCCATAAAATATAAATAAATGGATATAAATAAATAATAATGGTATGGAAACATTCTACATCATCTTCTAACTCGTAAAAGTACTTTCCTCTTACAATTGGTGCCCTGTAAAGGACATGTTATCTCCTGGATACCACCCAATCATCATAAACAAGTTTTTAGGAGAATTACGCAACAAAAGTACGGTTTTGTACTCAAAATCTCTGTCTTGGACGTCACTCGATCGCTCTCTTCTCATGAACGAAGCCATCGGCTAAGAAAAATCTACAAAAAATCGGTTTTTCTACCATGACTTGGCAGATTCCTACAAATAAAATGGCGTCGGCCTTGCCCTGGTCCTTGCCGTAAAATAATTTGCAATTTTTTTTGCATAAATAAGAAAAGCATGAGAAGAGAGCGATGCGTTCCGCTACTCTCAATACGGGGAAAAAGTCTCATTGATTCTCATTGCATAGAATTCAAGAAAACTTGTTTTTGGGAAACGTCTTTTTGTGGTCGGTTCCGTTACCCCTTAAATAGCTTAAAGGTCCCCTGATGGCTTTAGGCTATAATTTATTGCGCTGTGTTGCATAGTTCAGTATGTAACGTGGAAACTTCTAGAAAATTCTAGAACTTTTTGGAACTTTCTGGAGAGATCCGGAACTTTCTAAAGAAATCTAGGATATTCTCGAGTTTTTGAAATTTTTTTCGAATTTTTGAGAAAATTCAAATTTTTCAAGAATATTCGAGAAAATTTTCCAGTTCTATAACAATGAGCATAGTCGGCGCACACCTGAGAGACCAAAGGCTCTCGAACCTCCCACTCTAAAGTATCGCGATTTCACCTTGAGTTTGAGTGGAGGGTGTGGAGGGGACGTTGAAAATAAACACCGTCGATTCACGATCAGCAGAGCAAAAGTTCACGATTAGAATTTGTTGCACTGCGTTGCATAGTTCAGTATGCAACATAGAAACTTATAGAATATTCTAGAACTTTCTGGAAAATTCGAGAATTTTCTAGAGAAATCTAGGATATTCTCAAGTTTTTGAATTTTTTTTCGAGAAAATTGAAAAAAATTCTCCAGTTTTATAGAAAATTCGAGAAAATTCACCGATTTTTCTAGAATATTCGAGAAAATTTTCCAGTTTTATAACGATGAGCATAGTCGGCGTACACCTGGCAGAGCAAAGGCTCTCGAACCTCCCACTCTAAAGTATTGGGGTTTCACCTTGGGTTTACGTGGAGGGTGTGGAGGGGACGTCGAAAATAAACACCGTCGATTCACGATCGACAGAGTGAAAACTCACAATTAAAATTTATTGCGCTGCATTGCATAGTTCAGTATGCAACGTAAAAACTTCTAGAAAATTCTAGAACTTTGGAAAAAATTCTGGAATTTTTTGCAAAAATCCAGAACATTCTCAAGTTTCTGAGCATATTTTCATGTTTTCGAGAAAATTGGAAAAAATTCTCTAGTTTTATAGCCTTCATTTTTATTTCTACCCTGTTGCATAATAATTTGAAATCTAAACGTAGAAACTACCCAAAAATTCTAAAACTTTCTGAATAATTCTAAAATTTTCCATTCAAGGGTTTTCCAAAGAAATGAAGAAAATTCTGGATTATTCTAAAAAAATCGAGAATAATAACACGTTTACCATAATCTCGATATTCATTTTTTTCTATTTTGCCCGAGCGAAGCCGGGGTCCATAGCTAGTTTGATAATAAATTAACTCATCTTTGAGAGGTCATACGGCGAATTTTCCGCTTCAACTTATTAGAAAATAGGATGCTTCATTCTTGAATTTATGACTAAATGTTTAGATTCAAACAACAAATATTTGGTTGTAATAGCAAATCATAGATCAACCAATCCAGAAATATTGCATCAACGAAACGACTTTGGTGGTTTTAACGTAAGATTCGCAGGGTTAGCAAATCAATTTCAACCTTTCAATGGGGATTGACCCGACAAATAGTCAGTGGCTCGCGTAGCGGAGGCTCAGGTACCAATTACAAATTTTCAGTTATCTTAGCACATCAGATTCCAGCGAACGAGTATTTGCTAGGTCGACGAAATTATTTTTCTGCGTGTCCTTATTGCTTCCAAATGGAAGCTTTGTGATCGGTCTTTTGTAACATCATCTAATTTTGCTTGGAAATGATGTATGATGTTTTTAGAAAATGTGTGTATGTATGTCTGTATGTGTGTGCAGATTTTTCGGAAATTTTTTATAAATTTCAACAAAAAGACAAGTAAAGTTGCAGCTATAAATCGGAAATTTCGTCACATAATTGCTATCGTTTGGGAGCAGCTCTGGCCGCAGTTTCAGCCCAATCGGTCAAGTAGTTTTTGAGATTCTTGAGCAATTTTTCAAAAATCGTTTTTCTTCAATATCTCAAAAACCACGTGACCTAATTAAATTTTTTGATGTCAAAGTGTTCCTTGTAATAATATATATCAAATCAAGTCATAATATTCCTAGGACACTAGGGACAGTTTGATGATAATTGGCATTTTTCATTTGTATGATAAAATTGATGTATACACGATAACTCCCGAAAAAATTGAGATAGAATATTGAAATTTGGTGAGTTTGTTATCTTATGATATTAAAGGATGAGTTCGTGAGAAGGCGAAATCGACCAAGTGGTTTAGAAGATATTCAACTTTTTATGAAAAACTGTTTTGTTCAATATCTCCTAAAATACTGGTCTGATTTCATTTTTTTTTCAAAATATTCGTCTTACTGCAACCTATCGAAATCAATCAAAATATGAATACCCGTTCATACAAAGTTTCCGAGATATCCACGTTTCTCTATTTCCTTCATCTCATAGTGAATTTAACGTCCCGTAATCCGCATAAAAGTTGGAATGAACCCCATCAAATTTTGGCTACTAATCACTATTATCGGGTCTCACTTCTGTACAAAATTTTGGATCGATCGATTCAGTACATCATGGCATAGAGCTATTTATCCAAAAATCGTTTTTTCTAAAAAATGACACATCGTCACTTTATCGCTGATTTTTGCATCTGGATGATTAAAAAAGTCATTCAACAGAGAATTATGCTCATTTCTATTTTATGTCATATTATTAAATATTAGTCGGTTTCATAATAAATGAATGTTTATTAAAGATTTTGGGGCCAAAAGCCTAATAAAATGAAATACAAAAAGGCATGACGCGTCTGCGGAATAGGATTAAAGATGAAAGAATAATAGTTTTTGCAATGCTAATTAATCTCAACTACAATTTATGATTGATACTATTGAAGAAAATATTCCAAAAAAGTGAAAATACTGAAAAATTACTAAATGAAAAAAATGGAGAATAAAAATGAAATATTCATTAATTTGTTAAAGATAATATCCATCAGATAAAGTCGGAAAGTTGAATAGGAATTGCCACTTCTCATTTTTGAAATTGGAATTGCCACAGATCCATTCGGAAGTTTATTAACAAAGGAAAAGGTAGAAAAAAAAGACTAATAACACATCAAGAAACAGTCACATGGCTTTTGCCGAATAGGAATTCTACTTTGCTTGTAATACTCAATGTTATGATTTCCACCAGGATTAATCCCTCTGGCTTCGACTTCCCAATGGAACTTCCACTAGGCATAACCCCTCTAGCGTAGGCTCTGACTTCACTTCCACCAGAGGCCCTCTGGCACAGATGACTAAGTCTATCGCTAACGAAAAAGACAGATTTTCTGGTCACGTTTCGGGCCCCCGTCGTCACTCCTGGTCGAATCCCCGTCAAAAGATCCCGAACTAAGAGATCCCCCAAAATGATCCCCGAACAAAATGATCCACAACAAAATGATCCTCGGACGACATCAAAAGTGATAATATACTCGTCTATTTAAATAATTACAACATTTTAACAACACTATTGACCTATTAATAAATCAATTATAATATATAAATACTCCATAAATACATTAATTCCTGAGGCATCATTCTCATCACAAAATTGAACAATAATCGACCTATTAATAAATCAATTATAATACATAAATACTCCATAAATACATTAATTCCTGAGTCATCATTTTCATCACAAAATTGAACAATAATTTTCCACATAAATACATTAAACTTCAGATTCTCTTTTAATTCATGTTTAGTATGTTATATTGTTAGCTAAACCGCGCAGATAACTTATTACTTTTTTTTTTGTCATAGCTCACCACGATGTTGTAGATCCTGGCATCAATCTCTCGGTACTTTTTCTTCATTGTTGGGGTTTCCACTTTTGCCTCGATATGACTCATTTTCACATCTGTAAGATTCTGCTCTCTCATCATTAACTCAATCAGTTTCCAAACAGTCAAGTGGCTAGCTTCGGCTCGTGTGTTTAACGCATGGTGCCAGCCTTCGACACTGTTATTGATACGAGGTGTTCTCTGTATCACTGATTGGTACTGATTCCATAACTTTATGGCAAATTGTGGGGGAAGTCTTACTTTACGACGATTCAATGTCCCTATCCACGTTTCTTCGATGTAATCAATCAGATGAGTTAGAAGCTTATCATTTTCTTTGTAAAATTTGGTGTTGATTAGTTTCTCGTACGCATAAATAATATCCTCTTCAGGGACAAAGGCCAAAGCAGCTAACATTTTCAAATTTAGGGCAAACATGCTGTTGTCTATGTACTGTAATAAATAATTACTAAAATTACTAAAGTACTAAATAATTTATAGTTTCCCAATTTAACGAAACCCGAAGGAATATGCCTTCCAGCCAAATATTCGACGCTGCACCATATCGCCACTACACCCGGACCTCCAGTATCCAGCAAATCACGACTCCTCGCCCCCGGGCAAACTGAAAATCGCCAAGGCGGAGTTCAACAAAATGATGCAGCTGGGAATCACTCAATGTTCGAAGAGCCCCTGGTCATCTCCACTTCACTTGATACCGAAAAAGTCAGGCGAATGGCGACCTTGTAGAGATTATAGACAATCGAACGCACGAACAATTCCGGATCGATATCTCGTTCGCGTTCTAGAGGACTTCACTGCTAATCTCGCTGGGAAAACAATCTTCCCGACGATCGACCTCGTATGCGCCTTTAACCAAATACCTGTGGCCACCGACGACGTAAACAAAACAGCTATCATCACACCATTTGGACTTTTCGAATTCCCGTTCATGACGTTCGGGCTTCGAAATGCCGCACAAACATTTCAACGGTTTATCGATGAGGTCACACGAGGCTTGGACGATTTCACCTTTCCGTATATCGATGATATCCTCATCGCTTCCAAGGACATCGAGGAACATCGCAGACACTTCCACACGCTCTTTGAACGGATCTCGAGATACGGTGTTGTAATTAACACCGCCAAGTGTCGTTTCGGCCAACCGGAGGTAGACTTCGTCGGCCATCGTATCTCGGCGCAGGGTATCTTACCGCTCCCGTCGAAGGTAGAGGTGATCGTCAATTTTCCTCGGCCAACATCCATTCGTAAATTGCATGAGTTCCTAGGTAGATCAATTTTTATCGCAAATTTCTTAAAGATGCTGCAAGATTTCAGGCTCCTCTCCATGAATACACTCGGGGTGCTAATGTTAAAGGCTCTCACCCCGTCGCCTGGACACCTGAGGGCGATACCGCCTACCAATATCGCCGATCGTCTGAGGAATCACTTCGCCGATCTCGCTCCTCAACCCGTCGCCCGTCATGGCCAGAGGAAGATTTTCTTCTTTAAGGAGCTCGCAAACTGCTCACACGTCCGCGTTCGTCGCGACGTTCCCCATCACGCCTTCACGTCCCAATACGAGGGACCACACCAAGTAATATCGAGCCACGAGAAACATTTCGTCATTCGAATTAGAGGCGAAAATACCGTAGTCTCCATCGACCGTCTCAAACCCGTTTTCTCGCTCCCAGTCGACAAGCACAATAATGACGACGAAGCTAACGACGATTCCGACGACAGCAATACGACGCCGACTGCAGAACCTTCACCGGTGTCACCGCAACCGGGAACATCTTGACGTTCGTCATCTTATCGGCCATCTGACACCGGCTCATCGACGTCATCAATTCAAAAGCGCGTCAGATTCGCTAAACGACATCAGCTGTTCTCGACAAATCGATATTATTGATTTTCTTTTGGCTTTATTTTGCTTTCCTTTCTTTTTCCGCAGAAGGGGAGTACTTGCGGCGCGAGCTACAATAGTTAATTTCTTGAATTTATTTCGTAGCGTCTCAAATATTCCAAACGTCGGAATTCGAGACAAACATCACTCTGTCCTTGTCCCTCACGAAATTTTAGGACAATTCTCGAACCTTCGATAAATGAAGATATATAAACTCGTACGCTCTCCGGCGGATGAAGTCAGTCTACTTCTAAGTACGCATGTAAACACTTGCCTTTAAATATACAGTTCTTGTCAACACCGATTTATTATTCTTGATACCCGCACTAAACCGCCACAAAAAAATTTTACAATGATTGTTGCCCTAGTAAAATTTCCTTCCTGAATCTTTGCACTTGATGACTATTGAACAAATTTTTTTCACGACAAATAAAATTAAATGGATTGAATTGAGTTAAATTTCTGAAATAGATGTTATTTAACATTTGTTCCTGATAAATATCTTTGGATCCAAAAGAGAACGGAAAAAAAAATCATAGCAAATTGTACATTGTTACATGATATTTTCATAAACTGTCAAGAGAAATTGACTTGATTTTTTTTTTTGGCCTAACTAATAACATAATTAAATAAGGAATATTTATGACTCTACCGACAATTGTAACTCTTAACGAACAAAATTGCTATATAATAAGTAATACCCATCAATAACGCTATGTCCACTGTTTAAAATCATTAACGGTGAATAAAATCAATTGAGATATTTGAATAAATTTTTACAGAATTAAAAAATTATGACATTTCAATTTTTCGCCTTTTTTGAGTGTTTTTCTCATTTTTAATCGAATAAGCTCTCTAAATAAAGTCTTAAATCTACAGTTAAAATTATGCTTCCAACTTCCACGGATTCTCCTGAAGGAGGAATTTACCATTCACAGGATTTAATACTTCAAAAAATATCATTGCTTCCGCAGATCATCCAGCAGCGATCTGAAAAAATAAAAATTTCAATTTAAAATATTAGAATAATTTCATCTCAGAAATGAGGGAAAGCAGCAAAATTTGAGGCACTGCAATCATTCAATATTCAGAAAAAAGAAAATGTTGAGCAATTCTGCCGAAGAAATCGTGAAGAATATATCAATGAATTCTTACCGTGCTCTAGCAGTGGATAGAATAGGTGAATCGATATGATATTCACATAATGGGTGGAACGATTGTAGATGTTAATGCTGAGATGTTGATAACTGCTGCTGAGGATCGTTGACCATCATATGGAGTTCCAGTTGTCGTTACAGTTGCATGGACCGCCTGATTGTGGCTTAAGCACAAATGCCATTAATCTACTGCCGATTGAACCATTATTACTGAACCATTTGGATAAATATAATGAAATAAACATTAGATTCCTCGATGAATTGAATTGAATTTAATTGGACTGAATTGGTGAATTAAACTTGGAATAGATTTTCCATCAATGCATGGAAAAAAAAACTGTCTTAGACAAAAGGAAGAACTTAAAAAATAATTATAAGGGAATCATTGAGGTTTGAATGAAATTAATCAATTAGAATTGAACGCCCTTGATTAATTAAAGATTGTACTTCATAAATTCATTCATAATTGAATGATGGAACTGATAAATAAATGAGGGACGGACAATTTCAAGTACTCACAGCCAGAGTGATTTCATAGATACTCTTTAGGGTAGCAGCTCCACTTTGTGTCACTGAATTCCTTAATTATGGAAAAACTTCTGGAGCTTATGGACCTCCTGGATGGTGTTGAGTATTTTAGAAATCAGTAGGCAGCGCAAACAGCAGTGCAGAATTGTAAATCCAATCTCAATCGTTCAGACCTGGAACTGTTGAAGACTCATAATGATTCGGGGTAATGGTCTCCAACAGCTGGAGAAGGACCTTTCTACCAGCAGACGAAGCAACACAAGAAAAAAGTGGAAGAATAGCTCTGAAGCGGACTTTCGACTCTTGCACGTTCCTCATCACATTCGATATCGTCGCCAGAAGCTCCACGGTCGTCTTCCCTACCACTCCCTTCAGGTATCGCCTCAGATGAAGGGGTAAGGACAGATAAACCATGGAATTCGATGTCTGTGACCCGAGGTTGAGCTCTGAAATCCTCGCGAGACACTCATTTTACACTTATCGATTTTTTCCATGATGTATGAGACCTCTGACACGTAGGGCAGGGCGATCGAGAATCCGTTTTTTTTAAACTCCAGGTAAACGTGTTTCATCATTAATTTCCAACAAATTCCTTGGCTTCAGGTGAATCTCCACATCGTCGACTTCCATCGGATCGTAAGAGGGAATTTCCTAATTTTGAAGGGTCTAAGACCTTTACAACATGTCTAGAATGTATCAGTCACTGATGGATGGGTTTTATTCTCCAATAGGAGCTTGATGACGAAGGCAAGACAAGTTCTACTTGCTTCTTCATACTTCACGAGCAGACAGAACTACCTGGAGTTCTGATACCAGCATTATAGAAGCATCAACCTAGCTGTGGGACTGTGGACACTCTCTGCAGCAAGTTTTTGATCCACGAGAGGACAGCAACGTGCTACGCATTTATCAAATGAGGAATCCAACAAAACGTAACAAAGATTGAGCAGAACATTTGTTTTACCAGTATCTGTTCTGTTTGCCAGTATCTACTATCAAAGAACGAACTCAGGATGTTCCAATCGTTTATTAGCTTGGTGATGTGACATTCTCGTATCTCCTCACTTCGAAGATTATCAGCAGTGACAATATTTTCAGGACTGGATGCATCAGTAATGCCTTCTACGTATTTCACAATTTGAATATCAATCATTGCAGATTTATCTGAAAAACAACAACATACTCAATATTCATTCCAAAATATTGGGATGCAAAATCATTTATTTAGAACATTCCAAACTCAGTGAATCATGCCAAAACAGAGTAAAAAAAAAGTGAAAAAACGCCAATCAATAGATGCGACACAGATTCATAATATGCAAATTATAATACCACTTGATTATACTTACAATGCCTGGAAGCAATCACTCGATCCTCGAAACTTAATAAACTAACTGTTCTGTCTTTTATAGATCACTTTTAATAATGTTTTCACGCAATAATTTCCGCTGGACATAAACAACAATAAAAACACATATGGAGGCTTCAAACAATATGGCGATGACGTCAGGATTGCCACGAAAACTACATAAAAATTGGTTGGCACAACCGCTTCAGCCCACTGGCCAAATAAAAGTGGAGGGGGAAGGATGGGTTTACATGCCCCTGCTCAGTGGGGGGTGCAGAGTCAGTGTAATGGGGGAGCCTTCCATGAAGTGCGTCTCAAGTGGTGAATATAGAAAGTAAGAATCCACCAAAAACACTATCAAAATTATTTTGCTCTTTTAAGTCAATGAAATGTGTACCTATAAATTTCTATAAATTACATGCAAAAAATTACACTCGCGTGCTTTGTTTGTAGAGAAATACACTCGAGTGAGAAACAGACAACGAGTAAAGTATTTCTTGATATTAAGAGGAAAACTCAGAGTCATAGTTAAATCTCTCTCTTGGATCCATACCGAACACCCAATGTATTCTTCAATGGGGATTCCCCTATCTATATGCGAGAAATTTTCCACCGACGGATCGGGGAATCCTGTCTCATAATATCAACGGTTTCGATGCTATCATTTTCATGTTTATAGCAACTCACGAGCATATAAATTGAGTAATTAACTAGGAGAGTCCATGCCAACTTCATCAGGGCAATTCTTTGTGATTACTCTCTCAAGATCGTGAAATCATAGCCATGAAACTCTTGAAATTTGCTGCCTTAGCGGTTGCTGCTGTACTTTGCTGTATTTCGTACGCACAAGCAGGGCGACCTCCAATATATTGCGACCCATTCAGCGGGTGCCATGCTAGCTAAAACTCAGGTAATGATCATTTTGTGATTCTATTATTCTTTCTTATTAATGTTTGGATAGTGTCTAATTCCAATCAATTTTACAGCCGAAAACTTGATTAATTATTGACTGTTTCCGGACATCTTCTATATAGTCAAACTCTACCATCCAAATTATGGAGATTAATCACTAATTATTAATATTGCGTAATGTACACATGTCCATGATGGACCCTTGCGATATTGTAATAACTGGAAGTGAAATATATTGGTATTGAAACAGTTATTGATTAACAGAAATTAATGATATGTATGCAGATTATTTTGTCTTTTCCTCGTATTGTCAATAACGCTGATAAATAACCTATCGTGATTTCAACAAATTTTGAACATGACGAAATATGAATTTGTTCAATCTACATGATTCATTAAACATAATTCAATTGCATTATTTTTGCGCTTTATTGCATGATGCAATCGACAATTTCTTCAAACTGGTTGTTAAATTGTTCGTCTTCTATTCTGACACATGTCAAGATTGAGAGAAGTCTTCCTTGTTATAAGCAGGAAACATTCGAGTTATATTTGAACGATTATTCTCACATTTGTATGGAATGGCAATATATATTCTTTAGTGGAGATTTTTTTTGTATAGACCGGAAAATCCACATCAATAAGTCAACGATGTTGACGCTGTCATTTTCATATGTATGGGAATTGGGGACTATATAAAATAAAGAGTTGTCCAGAAGAACTTCAGAAGAACTTCAGCAGTGCAAGTTAACTCTTTTCATAGTTATTCTCTCGAAATCGTGAAATTGCAGCAATGGAACTCTTGAAATTCGCGGTTTTTGCGATGACAGCTGTCATCTACTGGATTTCGTACGCTGAGACTGCGTTGCCTCCTAATTGGTCATTTTGCGACAGACCTGACGGCAGATGTTAGTTACATCAAGTAATAATTCTATCACATTCTATTATTCCTTTTAATCAATATTTGAATAGTAAGTAATTTTACTAAATTTGATATCTGAAACGTGGACAAATGATCGATGCTGGTGGTTTGGAATTGACATGAGAGTTTCTGGATATCTTTTCTTTTAAAGTAATTAACCAACATAATAAATTCCTTAACCATTAATATTGCGTAACGGAAAATTGTTCGCAATGGACAATTGCAGTATTGTAATGATTGGAAATTAAATATATTGGTATTGAATTAACTATTGATGAATAATATTGGCTGCCCAGGGGAAACCCAGGGAAAACATTTCCATTCTTCTTCATTCGTCTTTCCTCCCGCATAATATTCATTTTGTACGCGGAAACAATAAATTAGATAGTGTTGCAGTTTATGAAGGATGACAGCCGCATGTCGTTTTTATCTTTAAAACAGTCCATAGGCATTGAGTATATAAATCGAATAGTAGTCTAGAAGGGTCCATACCTACTTCGACGGTGCAAGTGAGCTCTTTGTAATTATCCCCTCGAACTATGGAACCCTTGAAAGTTGCGGTTTTCGTGATGGTTGCTGTCATTTGGTGCATCTCATATGCTCAGGCATCACCTGTTCCGATATACTGCGAGCCATTCCGTGGCTGCCATGGTGACTAGTTCAAGTAATGATCATTCCTTGTCTCTATTTTGTTTTTATCCATGTTCAAAGTTTATTGAATTTACTCATTCTAACAGCTGGAACGTGCACAATTGAGGGATGGGGGTGGCATGGAATTGACTTGGCTGTTTACGAATATCTTTTCCAGGGTTGAAATGTTTCGTTGTAATTATCAAAATGAATTATGTAATTCTATCTGTTGGAAATAAAATATAATAATGCTGAAGCAATTATTCATGAATATTTTAATTCACCAATGATTCAATGATAAAATTAATGATTTGTGAGTGAATTATTTCATCTTTTCATCGAATTGATCTATGTTATTCTCCAGTACATGTAATTTTTTCACTTTCTATGTAGAACAAGTGGGAAATTACCCTTGTCTTCATATAGTATAGTTACTTCTGCTGATAAATTAGCAATATGCTTTCAAATGGTCATTTTGTACATTATTTTCCTTTACTACACGGAGAGAAATCAAAATAAAAATTACCCTGATGGAAGGGTAATACGGTTCACGTTTGGAGCAAAAAATATCCTTGGTGTGAATAAATTTTAATGAATATTTCCAGATAAAATTTGTTCTTATCTGTGTAAAAATTATCAGTATGCGAGGATAAAAATTATTACATATCTCAGTAGTTTTTACAAATATCTATATAAAAATTACAGTCCCAGAATTGTAAAAAATACTAACCTTACCTACAGAAGATCTTGAATGTGCACGGAGAGAAATGTTCAGTAAAAATTACGAAACTCACAATTCGCTCACCGATTACACAATCGAGTCAGAACAATCAAGTGACGGTATTGTGATTTTTCACAGAAGATTCAGATAAAAATTACGGAACGCTCTGGAAAAATTCCGTGACAGTTCCGTAAAATCTTCTACAGCCACATTTCACTCCGGAATTACGGAAAAGACACGTAATTTTTATTGAATATTTCTCTCCGTGTGGTATACACAAAAGTTAACACTTAGAGGTTATATAAAATTTACCAAAACCCGCGTTTATAGTTTTCATGATTCAACATAAAGATTGGAAAGCTAGTGCAGTGAAAAATACCGAATGCAATAAAAATCAATCTTTTATGCTTCACAAAATTTAATTCAGTTCAATTTTCATGTTTTTAGTGTTGTTTATCAATTCAATTCTTTTTGGAGTAGAATACTTGTCTATACCTATGTCTTGAACTACCAGAATATGTATTCTCATGGTTCTAATAATGAAATTGATTGAGCATGTGACAATAATTATTATAATAAATTTGATTGAAACAGAAAATAAGGAGAAAATAACTGATCATATTGATCTGAATGTGAGGAAAATATATCTCTCCGGTCCTTCGATTGTGCATCGAACGCAGTGATCTTGACATTGACTGCCAGAGAATACGTCATATATATTTACGCGTTAATACGCTGAAACACTCGAGTGTTACCGATAGAGCTCGAAGTGTTTTTACCGCACGACATTCTACTTTCCCTTTTAGTAGAATTTATTGTTCGGAAGGGTAAAAAGTGCCGCACGCATCAGTAATTTTTGATGCGCACGATGGATATAATTTAATTGAATTCGGTGAATAAAAATTATTCAATGAATTTTATGATAATTACCAGGATAATTATAATTTTTATCCTTCATATAGATATTTTTTGTCGTTGTCTATATATATTTTGACAAATGCATAGCCAATTTTTGATTTATTCTGCGAAAATTCCCATGGAGAAGGGTAAAATTTATTTTACGTTTTATAAATGTTATTATTTAACATCAATTTTATTTTAACTTCCGGATAAAAAATCGACGAAAAATTGTAATACACGTTTATCCTTCTGGAAGGGTAATTTTGATCAAAAATTTCTCTCCGTGTAGGAGGTGCGCTTCAGCTAGTCGGGTTGCATGGGATCGCTATGTGCAGTCATTAACTTCCCGGTAGAGGAAGTTATTCTAATCAACCATAAAATAAAAAACACCTATTTTCGCCATATATCAACGTTTCAAGGTGTCTACAATGTTTTTCGACTATTTTTGAAAACATGTCTGTATGTGTGTGTGTGTGTGCGTGCGTGTAAAGGTGTATGTGATTAAAGTTTTCGTTCACGATTACTCAAAAACTAATGATGCGATCAAAGCGAACAATGACGCGATCGAAACGTCTTCATGTGACTTAGGACGTATCAAATTGTAGTCAAAATCGGTCCAGTCGTTTTCCCGTTTTTTAACAAAACCCTTAAATTACTCGTTCGATTATGGAAATAACGATTATTTTCAGTAGATTTTACTATTCAAAAAAATCTATGTTTTCGATGTCGCTGACTACAAATATAGAATCATTTTTGCATAATCTTATCCCGCTTTTTGTGTCTATAGTAATTGAATTGCCTCGAATCGCCTCGGAGATCATTTTAATGGATTGTTATCAATTTTTTCGCTGGAAAACATGTGTTTTGAAAAATTAAAAAAAGTAGTATGCTTCCGAATGGGATCAAAAACACCCTCTACTAGCCACTCACATAATCACAATTTTAATTCTCATTCCCATGAAGTTTCTGTTCGATAACATCAATTACCCCGTGAACTGGTTTTTGAAATTCTAATTCCCCTGATTTTTACGTTCTTTAACAACAAAAATACCCTTTGAAATGGTAAATGAATAGTTTCATTCACTTGACCAATGGTTATAAAAAAATCCAAATAAATTGAATTTGGAATAAACATCGTGGAATTCAATTTTTAGATAAAAACTTCCATATGTTGACGAAATTTGACCTCCATCAAATATTTCAGGGGTCAATTTCAAGATAAGGTAATACATTTTTACCTGAGCATAAGATATTTCTACATATTTGATTAGAAACCGAGAAAATCTCGCCATTCAAAGAAAAAATATGGAAATTTTTAAAACGCGACATGCTAACATCGCTACATTATCGCTTAGAACAATTGATCGAGTAGATGGAACAGTGGAGCATTAATTTGAAGATCTCGATGAGACATTTAAATTGACACATGATATATTCTGAGGTGTAACATAACATACTGAGATGACAATTCAATTAAATCAGACCTATAATATACCATTTTACACATAGAAAAACCTAAACCTAAATTAAGTTTTGCTAAACGTAAATTACGTTTTGATGAACGTAACTTACGCCTAAATGAAGTGTATTTAACGCTTAGCAAAACGTAATTTACGTTTAGCAAAACGTAAATTATGCTTACATTTTTAGACTGGTAAAAAAAATGAAATTTCATGGACAGTTGACTACCAATTTTCAGGACAGTGACACTGAATGAAATTTAGGGGAAAAAAATCATTAAATTTCAGATTTCACTGAAAATTCAGTAAAATTCCAGAATTTTAAGGGGCATAAAGACGAGAATTCCTTAATTTATTTGAATCTCCAATCTAATAAGAATATTCAGTGTTAAGGGGAGACTACTATGAGTTTTAAAAGTGGCGGGCTATTGGAATGAGATTTCTCATACATTGGAGATCGATTATACATGTCTAAAAACGAATAATTAGTGCAAAAAAACGACTTGTTTATTGTTCGTTTTACCCCGCAAACGCTTAAAATGTTGAAAATAGTCCAGGGCCTCCAATGTTTGAGCTACAAAGGTTTCTTTTTTCCCAAAATTTTTGACAAAAAGGTGTACAATAACAATTACGAATTAGTTTTTTGAAATTCAACTCCTACACGGCTAATTTCGTTATTATTTTAATAAAAAAATGGCACCATTCATGTAGAATAGCGTGAAAAATATTTCTGAAAGAATCGAGAATATATTTTTAATATTTTAAGGATAATTTTTCTGTCTATTTTACATGAATGGCGCAAATTTTTATAGTAAACAAAACGAAATTAGCTGTGTAGAAAAATCCAACCATAGTTAATTTTTCAAATGGAGCATGGAAATTCAATTTTCGCCGAAAATTTTCATCAGTTAATGAAAAATTGATAGAATCAGGTGTCATGTTCAAATTTATTACATAAGCTTTCGAATGAGTACAGTAGATTAATGGTTCATGCAAGAGGAAGAAGGAATTGAGCACAGAAACCAAAAAAAGAAGCCTGGTAAGGCTCACAAATATTTCTATATTAGAGGGTATATAATTAACTTTACATTTTATTGTATTATAGTGAATGAGATTTATTTTTAAACAATTGTATCAGATTTTCAACTTCGCTGAACCAGATCACTATCATTACTCTTATTATCCCTTTCTTTCATACAATCGATTATCTTTTTCGCGATCCTATATCACTTCTTTTGTTGTTTCCCGGGCTGACATACGCGTCTTAAGGATAATCGGGCGAGCCCGGAGAGTTAGAAAAAAAGCAGTCATTTTTCTATTCTATTTTTTACGTATTCTTTAAATGATGGAAAAGGCGTGTGCAAAGTTTCAGACTGCTGGGGAACATGGTTAATTTATTGTGAATTTTTGAAAAAGTGGTCATTTAACCCATGATCTTATGGAAATCACAAAAAAAAGCAAAACCCAAGGAAAAAAAACAGCCAAAGTCATGAAACTTTAGACACATTTAGAACATGTCATCAATGATTTTTTGAGTGAAAAAGATTGTCACCTATGAGCATTGTTTATTAATAATAGCGAAAAAAATACTGAAAAATGAAATTCCTGCGCACGCAGCCCAAACGAGCAGCAACGTCTCAAGTACCGATCAGGTGGGGGTAGCGCGGTCAATTTAAACGTCTCTTGAGAGAGAGCGATGAAGCGATGTGATTGGAGCTCCCTCGAACCAGGGGTACCAGCTCCTGGTGAAAAAAAAACACTACCGACGATTTTGCGACTTTTTCGCATGGATTAATATTTTCTCATTTATTAAAAAAAAACAATCTGAAAACCATTCAATGCGTGGAACAGATACAAATAAATTTGATTAGCTCTAGAAATAATTTTCAACCGGAGATACTCCCTAATATTGCCTGAATTTTGAATCCGAATGGGAAAAATTTTTTTGTTCAGCGATTGATTTTCTGCAGGAAAACAATAGAAACCCCTCCGCCTCACCTCCTACATTTACTCCTCGCCCAATTACCCTTAAGGGGTCTCCGCAGTTGCGATGGGCGCGCGGGTGAGTGGAGTGTGAAATAGTCAAGTTAGTGAGGTTAGTTTCGAGAGAGGCGGGACATCAAACATGGCGTATGTTGGATAATGACAGACATCGCCATAGTATTTTTATTACTAATTTATT